GCAACCACTCATGCCTGTGGAGGCTAGCGAATGCTCTTCAAAGTGATGCATTTGCCTCTGGAGTGCTTCATTGTGAGTGTCAGATTGTTCAAGTCCACACTGCACCCTCCACCGGGGACTGTGTGTAGCACTGTACAATTCCGCTAAACTGACCGGACAAGCGAACAGACGCGACTGGCTCCCACCGGCTTGTATTAAAGATGAGAGGAAGTATGCTGAATTAACAATTACCAAAACAGTCTCACTACGCTGGTGTGCTCCCATGTTTTTGCCATGCTTTTTCGTATATCTTAAAGCTCATTCATTACCGCTAATTGTTCCACCTCCACGGTCCCAAGTAGTGATCCACTCAAGTAATGCGGATAGGATGGGAGAAGAAAGGGAAGCGAACCTTCGGTAGCAGATGTGTATGGTCAGTGAGTGGCTGACCAAAAAGATGATTGAGTTGGCAGATGGGAGTGAGGCAAAATGAATCCTCGATGAGGTAAATGCACAAACGAATGAAGGATTGACAAGCAAATAACTGGAGAAGGAATTTGTCCAAAAATGTGATTCTATGTGTAATCCTAAACTCCAATATTATGTAAATTTCCTTCACAGAATTATTCACGTGATCTTGGGTTTTCTTAGAAAATCCATAATTTTCTCAATGCGAAAAATATTATTTGTAATGATTTGAAGGCCTTATTAACTTTCTGCACTTGACTACACAAACAAATAACCCCTGCAGTCTGAGCTTTCAAAAATTGACACAAGTAGTGAGGTTATGCAAAGTAGCCCACTGCACAAACCTTCTGTTCCGCTAGACAGTGGTGAACCCGACGCCTTATCGGCGCATCGCAGCAACAAACGATGTCATACATCAACTTACTATCAACCGTTTGACCGCTTCTTGTGGATGCCTCCATGTCGGCACCATAGGAGACCAGAAGTTCAACTATGTCGAGCTAAAATTCAGACCAAAAAGCGGAACTAATTTATCAGCCTAATTTTCACCAATCCCAAATTTAAACTTGTTTACAAAATGTTAGAAAGGAACGCTAAAATTCTGAATTAAAATGTTTAGAAAAGCACATGAGTAAGTGTGGATTAATTTTAAGACCAAAGTTGTCTAGAATTTTGTGCACTTTGCGCTTTTAATCCACACTCAATTAACCGCGATTTCCGATGATGGAGATAATTGCAATTAATGGTCCGCTGAATTTTCCCACAATAAAACTCGAAAAAGCAATTTTAGTTGATTAAATAGAATGGTACTTTGTAGCATTTTCGCTAAAAGACCATTGAAAACATCGACAACAAAATGAGTTTGAAGGATGGGGTGGGGGAAGAGAGTTTTCAACTTTAAGCGAATAATGGCCTTAATGACATGTCGCAGTGTCGACGGCTTTTACCAGAAGTCCCAATTTGGCAAGTAGTCTTCCTCGTCAATCAAAATTGCTTAGTATGACCAAATTGTTAGAAAACAGACTGTTGAATTCGACAAATTAAAAGAAAACGATCTAGCTTAAAGTCTGTTTCATGTAGCCAATTTAGGAGGAGAGTAGAAACGAAGTCATGAAAGCAGAATTGCGAAGCGTAATAAAGAGAACCAGTGGGAAATGCATTTAAAAAGAAGAGAGCTTCAGCCATTACCATTAAGACCTGCACAAGATGAAGCGCTAGTTTAATTCGGCAAGACCAAATTGAGGCTGTTCGCTTGTCCGGTCAGTTTAGCGGAGTTGTACAGTGCTACACACAGTCCCCGGTGAAGGGTGCAGTGTGGACTTGAACAATCTGACACTCACAATGAAGCAATCCAGAGGCAAATGCATCACTTTGAAGAGCATTCGCTAGCCTCCACAGGCATGAGTGGTTGCCTGCCACCATCGGGAAGACGCGGGGGTGATGTGAATGCACTAACGTCAGATGTCGAAGTGGCAGTTTGCGAGACCACCACTCCCCATGTGATGCTTTCAAAGACAAAGAGCAGTGTTGTCATGACTGAGTAGTGGTGAAAGACGAGCCAGTGTATTGCAAGTCTCCTTAGGTGAATGAGTCCGTCACAATGAGGGGGCATATTTATGGGATTCAATCATTGCTTCTCTACGTCACTACTTCGACTCACACTTCAGAGGCGCACACAGTCTCAAACCCTCGACGGCACACTCACTTGTTGTGTGTGTCGAGGTTGACAGAGTGGGATTGGCAGTGACGTGGGTAGGGCGATTGAGGGGAAGGAGTGAGGGAAATAGCCACGCTCTCTGTCGTGGTGGTGGTTGTGAGTGAGAGAGGAGGAAGCGTTTGAGAGGGTGTGGAAAGTGG